TTATGAATGGCGACGAAAATTTGTCCGCCGCTGGTGCATGCATTATTTGCTGCTTTTCATGTCATGTTTTGTCCAAGGTTACATTTATTTTGCCCTAAATTCAGATAAATTATTCTATTGCAATTTCTAAACTATTCATTTTTTAGTTTGTATTAAAATTAAATTAGATTGCAAATAAGAATGCTAAATTTATTATTGCCGATGTTTGTTGTAAAGATAGCCATATATATAAGTTTGTGTTTTCCTTCAACTTCAAATTAAAAGTTCTTCCCTAGTTTTTTTTTCGTTTTACCAAAATATAATTTTTTTGTCAGCGAGACAAGTTGATGTGTCTCATAAAAATTGCCGAATATTTCTAAGAACCGCTGTTGATAATTTATAAATTTGAATTGAATGAGCAAATTAAGTAACCTGTCGTCAAAATAAAATTTCCGTTTTGCCTAACTTGTCAAAAATGAAAACAAAGTTTTTCTTTTGACGTAGCGTCGTAAATTCTACGCAAGTAGCTTTTGTTCAAATATCAGTTCACTTCTTTTTTCAACGATAATAGCAACCTTTTGTGTGTGAATTAGCGTAGTGGAGACACTTATAAAGGTCGTGTTGATTTTTCATCAATTATCAGTGTAAGTGCTGATATAAGGGGAACAAACCCACAATTGAACTGCAATGTGTAAATTGTGTAACAAGCTGCAAGGCAAATCAAGCAAAAAATATATCTTTTGATCTAATTTTCACAAATTGGGTCAATGTAAAAAATTTCAATCATAAATGTTTTTGTTAAGAGTAATGAATGTAGTGAAGACTCGTATTTAGGTCTTGCTGATTTTTTTCTTTTTTCAGGAAAAGTCTTAAAAGTCTCTAATAACTACAGATGTGCATTCATACAGATTTATGTATTTATGAAGGCACTTAAGATAAATGCACTTTTTGAGTTCAAATGAGTTCATCTGCTGAAATTGAGGTAAATAGCACTCTCTAAAAACAAACGTGATAATAGCGTTCGTTTTTTGCGCTATTATCATGTTTGTTTTTAGAGAGTGCTATTTACGTCACTTTCAGCAGATGAACTCATTTGAACTCAAAAAGTGAGTCTCGAAAGTGGAATTTATTTTTTTGATTTTTAGCTGAATAAAAATTTACCTGTTGATCCAGTTTTCTCAAGTTTGGTTATTGTTATCAAAAAAGCCCATATCACAAATCGTTTTAAAAATTCAAAGAGCTTGTAGGCATCTATTTTTTTCTTTGAAAATCGAAAGTTGAGATTTTTTCAACAAACCGAGTGTTTTTTTATGTTTACTTGCGTTCAATACTCTTCCAATCTTCAATTGGCTATATTTGAAATGTTGTTGGGTATGTTTATGATTACAAGCGGCTTTACAGTGTAGATTAATAGGTAGTTTGTGTTCTGTAATTTAAATTTTTTTCATGAAATGCTTCAAAATTCTGTCATTTTTGGCTCGGCGTATTTGAGTATTTTGACACTGCTTGTTGGTTGTTTGTTCCGATCATTGAAAAGGGGGAGGAACTTTGTGTTCGGGTGTGTTTCAGTTTTTTCCACGCAAAATTTCGACCGAATAAAGTGTTGTTAAATTTTTTTGGTTAAAAGATAAAATACTTTCGAAAGCTATATTTGGCAATTCCCTGGCAAGAAAAATTTTGAAATGTTTTTTAAAAAAATTTTCAGAAAAATATTAATTTATATATTTGTAATTTTAATGATTATGGTCAGAAGATTCTGTGCTACTTGCTCAGCAACCGGCTATCCTAGCTTTAATTTGGCCTTTCTTCTTTTGATTTTGACAGATTTTGCCGTTTTTCTGCTATTGTACAGAGTGTTTTTTTACCTAATGTAAATATATAGTGCACGAGACTTTGTATTGATATAGAGTGAAGAAATGTTAAATTTTTGGTTGATGTACTATTGTAAGATAGTTAAAACATTGATTCGGCGGAAGGTTTTTGGCGAAAAATTTTTGGCTTCTATATATAGCTTTTTCGTCCGAACATTGAATCACATTAAACATTAAAAACTCAAAATTTTTTCTAGTGTCGAGAAAACTTGTTTGATTTTTTTTAAATTTTCGTCTCAATTCGAGCAAATAAAGCAAGCAAGCAGGCATACAACAGCTGAGCTATTCCTTATTTAAGAAGTTAAAACTTAAATTTAAGCAAATAAAACAACTTTTTGGAGTTTTTTAGCTTCATTTTGGGAACGAAAAGCTTCAAAATTTTATGCAAAAAAAAAAAGTTTTTTTTTGTATTTTTTTCATTTTTCTACAAAGGTTTTGCGCGCTCTCCCTACAATACTATGACTGTTTAATACGCCTAAAAATACATTTAAGTCCGATCCTTTCATCATACCAAGCAAAAAAACTACACTAGTTTGGAGTTTTCTGCAGACTATGGTCGGAACATTCTTTGCTACTTGCTCAGTAACCGGCTATCCTTGCTATATGTAGCTTCTTCTAAAATATGCAGTCGGCCAAATCAACCTGTCTGTCCTTGCACTTCTACTATTAGTGTCTGTGATAAACGTCTTCCAATCTGGAAAGCCATGACAGTTTCTTTTGAATCGCTTCGCCACATGAATTTCAATCTGATTTTAAGCAATTATTAAAAATGTTGTTGTTCTGTTGTAAAAGAATACAATTGAGAAGCATGGATATATGGGTTGGCGACTCAAAATGTAAACGAGAGTTTATGAATGGTTTATATAACTGAAGATTTTTTTGTCTAAATTTTTCCAAATCAACAAATAACTATTCGCTTTATAAGAATTCAACGAGTTATAGAGAACTTTTCTCTAATTCACAGCGTGAAAAAAACTGATTGTGTTTAAAACAAATCAACAGTGACCCTGTTTTCTAAAATAGTCTAAAATAAAACCAAAAATTGTCGGACTGTCATTTTCATTACCGGTTTTACGTACAAAAAGTACACTGGAAAACGGAGGTTTTTTTTTCATTTTCGAAATTATGCGAGAGAATTGTAAAGCTGTTCCAGTTACAGTCTCCATCCGATAGAAATTTTTTGTATTCGTAGAGATAATTAAAATTCACGAAAAGTGACATAAATTTTCTAATTTTCTACTAAGGTTTATCTGGTTTTTGCAGACCGCTTTTTTCATTGGGTTTGTCCAACAGAATTTCAAGTTTGAATCGGCGGATCAAAACAGCATTTTGGAACAATGGAAATTAAAAATATCGGGAAAAAATATTCATTTTATGAACATTATACGAACAAATGATTGCGTTGATTCCTCCAGTAATCAAATGTTTTTTGAATTTTTCGGCCACTTGAGTGAGGAAAGCCGGCAAAAGTGTATCCTTTTTCAACCAGTGCATTTTAGGTGTATTGTTTTCTCATCAATTTGTTTTCTACAAAAGTTGCTTAAAACTTTTTTCTATATTTTGATGCAGTTTTTACCAAGCACTAAATAATGCACATACTGTTTGCTTAGGTTCAAAAGATTTATTTCATCATTTAAAATAAAATTTTCTTTAATTTTAATATACAAAACAAAAACATGTCACATAAATAAAAGAGCTGGGTGAAAATTCAGGGCTTTGTCGTGATTTACGAGCAGTTTAGCTAATGTCATTAATATGTTTAATTTTTTCGAAGGTGTTTTCGGCACTTGCTGTTACAGTAAAAATTTTCGGTCTAAAAAGCTCCATTACAAAACCTCATTACAAAATAGCTTGTTTACAAAACTAGAAAATATTTTAGTGAGTCGAACAATGTGACATGCTTTTTGTTTTTATTCGTTTTTTTAATTGCCAATGATTTTATATGTAGTTTTTGGCCCTTATTTGTTTTGTTTGTTTCAGGATTCAATTTTCCACAGTTTTTTTCTTCATTTTTTCCCAAAAATTCTCAAGGCAGCAATGAAGAAACGACTTTTGTTTTATATCTGAATTGCTTGTTTTTACATAAAGACAAAATTAGAGGTCACATTTTTTAAACTAAGAATTTGCTATAATGCAAAAAAATGATACCTGCAAGAACGCTAAAAATTATAAAAAAATGTTTAGGACACAATGACATTTTTCACATAATTCGCAATTTTTGGAAGCTAGTTCAAACATTTTCAAGAATTTTATCAACACTATTTACCCAATCTTTCTGAGTCGGTCAATATCTCTTAAGATATTCCATGATAAGCAGTTTGTAACAAGTATTTCAACGAATTTGCTTCGCTCAAATGGCAGATTTCGCGTAAAAAATTAATTTACAAAAAATCTTTTTTAAAAGTTTTTTGACGCATGTAAAACTCTAGTTTATAAAAATAAACAAACTAAAATAGCAAGCAAGCGAAAAACTTGAACATGGTTCAAAAATTTTGAAAATTCAAAAATGTTCAAGAATTTACCAACCATGTTTTCCCATTTTTTCTGAGTCAATAAATAAAGGTTTCTGAGTCGATAAAAAAATGCTATCTCTTTGCAAGATAGGCAGTTTTTAATAAATATTATATAAAAATTCAAGTTCTAACTCCATTTTTTAAAAGTAAATAATTAAACATCAAGTTAGAGAAAATAACTGATTCTGAGAAACTGTATAGCTTACATCAAAAATATTCAAACAAAACGTTCCCGCTGTAAGAATAACAATATAAAATGATGTAAAACATAAACTATTCAGATTCCAAATCAATTTAAAAAAATTTTCCATACCGTAAAGTTTCACTTTTATTATTTTTTAAAATAATCAATTCAAATGCAATTTCTAAAGAAAATTCTTCTTCTATCAACTCTTTGCCGACTACACCTTAAGTTTTTTTTAAAAGCACAGAAAATATTTACAATATAGAGTCTTTAGAGTGTTTTGAAAGCGCTCAGAAAACTTCTGCCGTTGGTCGACAAAGCAAAACGAGAAAATTTTCTTAATGTTTTGAAAAGGAGCCCTCTTCGAGAAAGTTCTTTGTCAATCGGACCCCACAGTGTTTTAGATATTTTCCAAAAAGGTGGAATTTTTGAAATCATGCCCACATCTTGCAAAAGTTTTATGAAGCTTCTCATTAAAATGTTGACGTCATTTAAATGAACAAAATTATATTTCACAGTTTCTATAAAAGTTTTCCGCAATTTTCTATTTTTCCACCGTGAGTTTTAATCAGCTGTGAGTTATTTCTAGTTGAATACAAATATTCTTCAGTGTTCTTTCCACAGGCGTCTGAAGTCCTCCAAGTCGACCTTTCCATCTCCATCGTAGTCTGCATTTTTGATCATTTTCTTCATGTCTCGCTCGCTGATGCCGTTTTCGCCCAGGTACTGCAGCACGTACCTGCGAGAAAGGTCAAAGATCACAATTTATGAAGAAGATAGCGGCGAGAAAGTTCAAAGGTCACAATTTAAGAAGATAGCTGCGTGAAAGGTCAAAGGTCACAATTTAAGAAGATAGCTGCGTGAAAGGTCAAAGGTCATAATTTAAAAAGAAGATAGCTGCGAGAAAAATCCCAACTCAATATAAAATAATAAATTGATATCATTGACGATTTTTCACTAGGATAATTTAGTATAATTTATCATTTACCATGCACAGAACTTGAACAGACACTGAAGACTTCACGACCTGTTTGAAAGCGCTGTGTGAGAGCTTCCTTAGTTTAATCCTAGATACCATTGGTCAGTGAGTTTAGTTAAACTAATTTTTGTTTTCAAAGGGGAAATTGTTCATAAAATATTCATAGAGGGAAACTTTTCGAGAAAGTTATGTCGAAAATACTCAAAACTGACTCAAAATAATCAACTGGTCTATGGAATAGGTTTTACAGACTGTTAATTTCCCAAAACAGATGTCATAGATTAGTTTTTTTCTTTAATGACGATCCATTTTACCCTCAAAGTTACTTTCTAGAAAACCCATATGTTAGTTCCCTTTATTGTTTTTTTTTGGGGAATATAAACTTTACGGTTGATTGGAAACTGAGTTTACAGGTGTTGAAACGACAATTTGGATGCTGTTTTGGCAGAAAATTTGTATCAAAAAGGAAAATTTGCCCTGCTGCGCTTATATTTGGATCAAAAAGTATTTTGCTCGTAACAAAACCATTAGCGAATTAAGTAGCAAAAAAGTGGGCTAGTTATAGTTTCTGTAAGTAGTTTCTAAAAGTTGCATGTTTTTAGAAGTTTTTTTTTGCTATTGATTATGGAGGACGAGAAGCAATTGTCGTTTCAATTGTCTGTTCTGTACACTTGTTTGCAGTTTACAAACTTACAAAAATTTCCGAAAAAGGTTTTAATTTAGTCGAGAAATCGAAAATTGTACGGCGCTAACTTGTGAGAAGCGACAATTCACAACAAGGATAGCCGATTACTGTGCAAGTCAAACTATTGTCGTTTTTTTTGCTGCGGCGTGGCGTGACAAAAGAAGCTGAACAAAAAACTGGAATACAGGTACTTTCGACAGTCATAATAAAATAAGCAAATTGAAAATCAATTTTTGTAGAAAAATTATTACAAAACGAAAAAAAAATCCAAAAGTTTTTTTGCAGTTTTCTGATTTTTTAAAAATTTTGATTCCAAAAAAGCTCTAAAATACTCAAATTGAACTAACGTTACCAAAGTAAAATTAATTTTTACGTTTTAAAATAAGCTATTGTAAGCTTTCAAGAAAAAACTCCTAAGACAATTTTACCTGAGTAAAATTGAGTTTTCACGGCCTAAATTAAGCAAAAATAAGCTATGGTAAGCCTGCTCTCTCGATATTTGCTCGAAAAAAGAAGAAAAATGGAAAATTTCAACCGGTTTTTCTTGACACTGGGAAAAAAAACTTGAAATTTTTTAATGCGGTTCGAATTACGACTGTAAGGGCTTCAGTATGATATACCACTCAAACCAGTCCGATGATTATTTGTGGTACGTGATTTTGCGTGGAAAACAAAAAGAAAGAAAAAGAAAAGAAAAAACTAAAACACAACCACATACAAATTTCATTCCCAGTTTCAAAGGTCGGAGCAACAAGCGACATATCGTATTATAAAAATATATCATCATTCATTGAACAAAGACTCAAATGAGCAAACAGTCTTGTCTATTTCTTCTGTCCTTGTTTTGGGTCCGCTTTGTTTAAAAGTCTGTGAAAAAATGCTATTCATACGGGGCACAAAAAGTGCGGCTAAAGACTATCCAGTCTAAAAAAAGACTGATAATTCATTTATAAAAAAAATGGAATTGGAGTTCATTCTCGGCTTAAGGTAGCCGGTGGGCCAATAGACGGCTCTAATTTTTGTTGGCTAGCTCGCAACACGTTGGCGCGACTGCAGTGGTTACTACTAAATATTTTGAGAAAAAAATCTAATTTTTGTCATATTTGTTGAATTTTCCGTGTCGTTGATCTGTCTGTATGTTTTTGGCCGAAATCATATCGGTTAAATTGCCTTTGGTCGAATTGCCTGAATGCGCAATTCATACAATTTCCGTTCATGAAACCTGCATTGTAACCATTTTGCAATTCAAATGAAAAGTTCTTCAAATGTGTTTTTACGTGTTTTTCATTCAATTAAAACAAGTCAAATGGAAGTTTTTTGTTCTTCAAAAATTTGCATGAAAAAAAAACGCTCGTCATACAATTTTTTCTAATGAATACTGTATGACAAAGATTTCTTCCATTGAAAAATTCCAAAATTCAAGAAAAAACATACTTATCAAATTTATTCACAATATCAAATTTTTTTTTCTTCTACTGCAAATTTTTCTTCTTGCAGAAATTGTTTTTTTTCTACAGTAGCCTATATACAATTTTTTAAAAGAGAAGAATTGAAATGTTCAATAAAATTATTCTGTGAAATCAGAATTATTATTTTTTCATTCCGAGAAAAAAAACCAGACACTGTTTTCAAACCTTTAGTTTTTGAGATAAAGGTTTTATAGCCATATACAAAAATAGGATTTTGGTATAAAACTGAACCAAAGTCAGTTTAACTTACTTGGCATGTCTCAAAATGCATTTGAGTCTGCGATGCTTTTGTCGGTTGTGGGTAAAATGGTTTTTTGATCTGAATTGATTTTTTGCTTTTTTTGTTTCTTAGTTTGTTATATTTTCAGGAAAAAAATTTAAAAAAACATAAAAGTATGAAACGAGTCACAAAAATGATAAATATTTGTTTTAATTCATGTAAAACTGATAAACATACTGATAAGTACGGAAAAAAGCTATTTTTAAAATTCCTTTTATGGAAAAATTGCCAATTATGCTAGTTTCATGCAATTTTTTTTGGTATATGGACTTGCAAAAACGCTCGTCAAACAATTTTCTCTAATTTTTTGTTTTCTCTAATTTTCTCGATCTTTTATGATAAGCATTTTTTCCAAAGTGGAACTTGTATGAGTAGCAATTTTGGTCAAATCTAGCGTTGCAAAATCAGGGAGTCCGCTCGCCTCAGTTGAGTCGGCTCCTATATTACAAGGAAGCTCATTCAGTTTTTTGACATTAGTTTATTGGTTTTTCAGTTTGTTTTTGCAAAATTGGGCTGTGGTTGGAAAAAATGAGCTATCATGACAACACCCGGCTATATACTTTTCCTAAAAAATTCTTTCTATTTTGTTTCTACTACGCAGCTTGGAAGTCATATTTGTAATGAGTGAAATTGAAGTGAAATTGAGATTTTATATTAGAACAACTATTTTAGAGTACTTTAGAGTATTTTATAGGGAAGAAAAAGTAGTTGTCAGCTCTTCGTGGGAAACCATGGTCGTGCACTTTACAATGTGAAAAGACAATTACCGAAACGTGATCTTCCTAAAAACGACAACTTAAAACAAGCAGCGGTTTGTAATTTATCCAAGAATCGTCGCTTGTTACTTGTCGCCTTTAATTAAATTTCAAAACTTTGCTTGCTATGAATTTTTGACCAACAGCAAATTACGAGCTGGAGGCACCAGTATTTTCCTTTTCGTTTTCTGATTCATAACCCTTTCACCCTTTCCTTTATAGATAATTCCCCGTTGTTGGCAATTTTGAGCAACTTAATCGATCAAAATCAATGTTTTTGATTAATTAGAGTTTTTGACGCGATTTAAGCTGAAATATGTGATACGAATAATTTCAATCGCTAAAATGAGCCATTTTAGGTTATTTAGTTTCCGTTCACGTTTGCTGCCCTAATAGGATATTGTTGCCCAACGTTATAGCGTTATAGTTAATGCTAATTGGTTGGCATGTTTTTTTCGGTCAACGAAACTGAACGAAACTAATTAATCTGAAACTGCTCATTTTGACGTCGGAGTTATGAGTTTCACTGATGTCCACGCGTAAAAACTGTGTTCAGAAAAACTAATTAACCTAAAAAATTATAGTTTATGACCGATTAAATTACCCAAGGTCACCGATATTGCCAACAATTTGGCATTAACTATACATTGGTGTAGTGTCAGTAGCGGATTTAGGGGGGCAGGGGGTGGTTGGACGCTCCTCCTTCAGAGATTCGACCCCCTGCCGGCCCAAATTGTCCCCCTTTTGTACTATTTTGAGATATCGATTTTTAGCTGACTGACCTTAAAATTTTTTCTTAAAGCATTATCGGCGCCAGTATATACTAATTCTGAGAGGGGAGCGCGCGCCGAAAAAAATCGCCATTTTTTGGTCAAATGTTTCCAAAAAATGCATAAAACGCCTTTTTTTTTTTTACTGGTTTAAGGTTTTTTAAGTGCTTTGGGAGAGCTCAGAAAATCAATTTCGCCGACCTAAAAGTCCGTGCATGTGTAGTGTGTATGATAAGGAAGGTGTTTTTACCTGAGTTCATTGACTTGAATGAATCCGTCGTTGTCGACGTCGAACTCCTTGAAGGAGGCCTCTATCATCTCGTCCTCGTCCTCCATCGCACTCATCATGATCTCCACAAACTCATCGAAGTCTATCTCCCCGTTGCCTGCAAAAAGGGTTTTGCTTAACAGTTTCCCAGTTTAAAATATCAGAAAAATTTTAAAAATGCTTTTAAAATTGAATTTTGGAAATAATCTTTCTTAGAAATAATCTTTCAAACTGGACAATAACATTGAACACCGACCGTCCATGTCGAGGTTCTGCAGCAGTTCCTCCGTCTCATCCTCGTCAATGTCCACTCTGAAGTTGTTGAACAGTTTGTACAACTCGTCCGCCGAGATGGACCCGCTTCTGTCGTCGTCCACAGAGTCAAACGCAATTCGCAACTCCTACAAACAAGTTAATAAAGTTCTTCTTAACAATATCCCCCCCCCCCTTTTCAAGAAAGGGTGAGATTGTTAAGTAGATTACTTGCAGCAAATTTTCGACCAATCAGAATGCAGCAAAATTCGAATTTACATACAACGCTCTAGTGCGAATTTACTGTTTTTATTTACAAGGGTGGAGATTCTTTAGTAGATACAATAGGTGGGGGGGGGATTGTTAAGTAGATCCGATATAGTTATAGTTTATAAAGATCCTAATAATTTTGGTGTCTGTGATTCGCAGAGGATATCTGAAAGGCTTTCAGGTCTGTCTAAATTGTGAGAGTTTTCAATTATTTCCCTACATTCCACAGTTAAGTTATTTGGCTGCTCGAAGCTCTTTTTTTTCTTCTCAAGGCCGTTTTTTTAGTCTGAAACTTGCACGTGTTACGACTGTTGCAGCCGAAATCGGTGAGACTGTAGTAAGTAGACTTACTGCTAGAGGGCAAGTTAGAGCTCGTACTCATACACTTTCCTCGCAATGGTAGGGGATCGTAAACTACCGAACTCAAGGCGAATGCCTTACCACTATGCTAAATTGTTTATGTAACTTTGATTTCAATCAATCATATTTATTTGTAAACAATAATTTATCTGTTGATTTTACTTTTTTTCCAGCCAATCACATGAATTTGTTATCGATAGTTTGTTGTTCATTTAATTTCTTTTCCTGCCAATCACACAATCATATTTAATTTTCATGAAAAAAATAGCTTATTAAATTGGTAAAAAAGGATTTACAAATTTAGACCACAGGAATTCGAAAACCTTGACAGAAAACCAACGCGGGGATCGATCAAAAATGCATCTTTTTGATTGTGACCAATTAATCTAAAAAAAAGGTCGTATTCTAATTTCGATAGAGTTCCAAAATGAAAACTACGAGCCAACATACAAGCCAAAATTCAGCATGCTCCATATTGTCAATAATGCTTAAATTTGCCTCTTAGTATGCAAAGTTTTTTGGGGGTGATTTTGTGATCCTTTTGAAAGACTCTTACTTTTCGCATTTCTGGCGGACATACGGCTGTCATCTTGAATGTTGTGGGTTCTTCTTTATTTGCACCTTTATGGGCGAAGGTATCTGCGACCTAAAAGCTGATTATGTGTAAAAATTAGATAAAACAGAAAGAATATAAAATTTGCTCTAGCAAGCACAGGAAACAACGCGAAAACCGTGGTTTATATGCAATTATGAATATTTAGTTTCTCACTGGTAAAGATCAAAGACGTTTTCATATTTTTACAACAATCGTAAAATGAAAAATTTTTAGTTTGAAGTCTGTCAAAGATAAAAGAAACTCGTCATGCCAACCTTCAGCTCCTGGAACTCATCTCCGCTGCTGTTAACCATTTTAGACTAAGACTCTAACCGACAATTGAAACTGTGTTTTAACAATTTTAAAACTATTATATCAGCTTAAACGCTATAAGAATCACCGTGATAATCTTTGTTTTTAATTTGCTAGTAGGTCAACTAAAAATGGTATAGTTAAATTGAAAAGCATTATGCACATAAACAAATACATCATGCTTTATCAAAGTTAATGGTTAAAACGTGTTTGGGTTTGATTAATACAGAACAATACCACCGGTATGAAAAAAATGGCTAGAAAAGTAACAAAATATGTAGTAAAACGTCTCAGCTAGTTCGTTCGTTCGTCTTTTACTGAGATCAAAGAAAACTTAAACGTTTATTTAACAATCAACGGCCTCAATCCATTTATTATTTAAAAAATTAGATTTTATATGAGCTAAATTCTTACGTGCTTTTTCGTCCTGACATTTTTTGATCGGGTATGAAGAGATTACATAAGATATTGAGACATGGCTAAATTTTTAAAAAATCGTTTTTGTTTTTCGAGTGAGTTTTCTGCTCCGACTATCAAAAAAAAAATGCTCCTTTCCACTTTTCTCCCAAATTCGAATTTCAATTTAAAACAAGACTACTCGTATCATGGCGAAGCCCTGAATGCTCTGACTGCCTTTTAAGGTCTATGGAGTAGTGTTTGTTTTTAAAAAATGAGGATTTGTTCAAACAAAAATGAAAAAATTGTTTAAAACCGGCTGTCTTTTTATCAAAATTTACCACACTAGTTTGCAAAATTGTGAACTGCCATTGTAATTTTCAATGATTAGACAATCAAATGTGTTTTGCTTTGGAGTTGGTATGATCATACTTCGTAGCTTGAAATAAATTTATGAGCAACGTAGAAACGGCGTTTTCCCAGCATTGGAGCAAGTTAACATCCGACCCCCCAGATATACCTAGTTAACACCTTGCACCTCAGCATTTAATTCGTAATAAATATGTTAAGCGCACAATGCTCGTTTCTAATTGACTGGAAATTCCAATTTAGAACGAGTCAACATCCTCCTCTCGCCTCAAAGCCGGTGGGGGAAAGGATGTTAAGTTGGTCCCGAGCACTTAGTTAGAAATACTTTAAAGTGCTCAGGACTGCGTCTTTAGTTCTCCCAAAATTTCCTCCCCTTTCCACCCGGGTCGAGGTGCTGGATTAATGTTTGTTTTTTTTCTCGACCAAAAATCGGTATGTTTCGACTGTCTTGACCAAATTTCGGTATGTTTCAACTTTCTCGACCAAATTTTCGTTTGTCTCAGTTTTCTCGACCAAATTTTGGTATGTTCCCATTTTCTCGACCCAAGAAAAAGTGTGTTCGACTTTGTTCGACCCAGTTCAGATATGTTTCGACTTTCTCGACCAGAGTCCAATATCTTTCGACTTTCTCGACCGTCTTGACCGAAATTTTTCAAAAATTTATTTAATCGACCCGCATATATATGTTTCGACTTTTTCGACCAAAACTCGGTATGTTTTGACTGCCTCGACTTTTTCGACTAAGAAAAATTAAAATTTTCTTTGAAAGCCACAACAGCAAGGCTCTTTGCATCAGGAAAAGCCCTGAAACTATCAGGAGTAAGCCCTCCTCAAAGAAACCCATCAGAGGGAAGACCCTTAAAGACTCCCAACTAACTACTGCTTCCAGAAAAAAAAAACAGTAAAACACGTTTAAAAAAGTCACCTTTTGAAAAAATACCGCTACCCGGGTCGAGGTTTGCAATTTATGCTTCGGCCGACTCGGCAAAAATGTGATATGTTTCAATCGTCTCGACCCAGGCTCGATATGTTTTGAAGGATTTGACCCAAGTTGCCTATAATTTGACTGTTTGACCGAGGAAAAACATTTTGACCAAGTTCGACCGAGGACAGATTTTACGACTGAATTCGACCGATGTATTGACTTTTTTGATTTATTTTTCGGCTTTCTCGACTTTCGTTTCGACTTTCTCGACTATTAAATAACAAGAAAAAATTGACAAAAATTTAAAATCTATGCTTTTCCGTTGATTTTTTGTGATGATTTTTCTTTTGAAAATAAAGTATAAAAACCTGTAAAATACAAAATTCCTCTATCGAAAACTTTTTGTTTCTTGTTGAATCTCACAGTTTTGCTTTTGCTTACAAATCTGTTCTGAGTGTAACATGAAAATTGATTGTTTTCCCTAGTCAATCAAGGTAGTTTATCTTGCAAGATCTTGCAAGAATCTTGCAAGATTCTTCTAACTAGGATGCGACTCTTCAAAAGATCTTGCAAGATTCTTGCAAGATCTGCTTGCAAGCTAAACGTCCTTTAAAGATAACCCTTATTTTGGTTGACAATATTTTATACCACGAAAATCCATTATGATTGGTTTTTTTTTTCACTTTTCTTAAATGCGGGTAAGCTAATCATAATGTAACAAAACTGAGCATGGTGAACAAACTAATAATACGGAACAAATTTTTTCTTCACACTTTGCTGCAAAAAAACGAGGATTCAGCTAACAACTAACGTTTTGAAATGTGGAGGGATAAATTAAACTAAAACGGCTGAATTGTCAAACGGCTGATCGAACTAAAATCAGTTCAACTGATTAAAGAGTGCTCAAGTTTTATCTAATCTCTAATAAAAATAGTTCAAGATGGATTCAAAAATGTTGACAAAAGCGCTCTGGAGAAAAATTTTGTCAAAAACGTCTGTCGAAGGTGTGAATGGCCAATATTTTTTTCAAAAAAAAGTAGATACTTGCATTCAATTTCCCTCTTTCAAATTGGTTGAAACTTTGCTATTGAAACGCAGGGTTGAGCTGCCGTCATCAGAAATCAAATAAACGAAACTTGTTCCTCTAATTGGCAACAAAGAGGCGAAATTTATTTGAAGATGTTAATGACCTCGATCCTTAACGCTTTTGAGTTAAACTTCTTAAAACTTCAGAAAACTGATTTCAGTTCTAATCTCGGGATGAATTTAACTTCAACAAATGCAGGCGCAGTTTTGGACCTACCAACGATGAACGAAGTAAAAAAAACTGTGCAGGTTTAAATTATCCGACAAAGCTAGCAAAAATTGAAAATTCAAACTCGTTTTTCTCAAATTGGGTTGAGATTAGACAAAATGAAACCTTTATCAAAAGAAACCTCAAACTTCTAGAAAAGTTAAAGTTCTAGAAAGATAAAGTTTCTAAAAGTTATTTTAATAGAATACATTTTTGGTTGATTGCCAAAAGAGGCATTTTCACTTGAGAAAAATCTTTCACTAGAGAAAACAAATTTCAAACATTTTACGAAAATGTTTGGAAATTTTAATTTCCTAGAAATAATTTGGGCTGTGAAAAGGCTTCTTTTGATTCAACTTTCTCTTCAATTAATTAGGCAGTTTCAACGTAACTCTTTATCAATTAAAAAAAGCCAAAAAATAAGGGGGGATAGCTAACAAGGTCCAAAATGGGGAGAAATAGTTAACAAGGTCGAAAATGGGGGGAAATAGTTAACAAGGTCTAAAATGGGGAGAAATAGTTAACAAGATCTAAAATGGGGGAAATAGTTAACAAGGTCTGAAAAAGGGGGAAATAGTTAACAAGATCCCCATAATCCATACCTTTACTCCCGTACCCCGGGGATTTTCTGTGCAAGATCTGAAATTCTTTATTTTCTTACATAAGTTGATTCTCAGATCTGAAATTCTTTATTTCAGATCTTGATACAAACTTACAAATTTCAGATATGAAATGGAAAATTTCAGATCTGAAATAATCTTGAAAAGCAAAATTTCAGCTAAGAATACACAAAAATTGAGTGCACTATCAATGAGATCATCAACGACTCGAACTTTGTCCTCATTTTCTCAAGGTTATAGAAAGAATCTGATACTACTGAGAAAAAAATCCGAAGAAAATCTATGTATTTTACATGCTTTCTATTAAACATGCGTTCTAGTTTTTACGAATTTCTTATTAGCGTCGAGAGAAAACAACATTTTTCGAAAGTATCAGAAGTTTTCCATAGACAAAGGTCACGTCTTTAAAATTTTGGAAGGTGCTCTGTCCAGTCTTACCATTGATGTTTGTTTGATGGGGGCGCTATTGAATTTGGAGACTCCTACAAATCATCCACCAAGTACACTATTGCCACTGGTGACACTGTGTCCATGAACATCTTCTCTCCATAGAACTTAGGCGTGGCAAGTTTTCCTCTCGGCCTGGATTAGCTGCTTGAGCGCAGGACCGGAGCTGTTTCCGCCGTCTTCTCTGGTGAGCTCTCTATGGATGTCGGTCTCTCCCTTGCGCCCGACGGAGTGATGTGGAATGCAGTGGATGTGTGGTCGTATGAGTCTGGAAGTCTCGTAGAATCTACAAAATTTTCAAAAAAGAAAGATTGAGAGTCTGACTTTACGCAAAAAGCCGTGCCCAAATATCCCAATGATCCTAATCTAGAAATGATGCAGGTTCAATACTAAAAATTGGATGTGGAGACCTCTGCTTTTTGCCTCTTTGATGGAGTAGCAATCGTTTGTCTTCTAGTAATAGACAGTACTGCGATGCTCGAGTCCTGCCTCCCCCCAGTTTGCTATCCGCCCCTGACAAACAACGAGTAGAAGTGTTATTTTGTCAAAAAACGGCACCAAAAAAGTTTAGATATTTTTCCCGCGAAGCAAGAAAATGACAGGACTAGCGAATTTATAAAACAAAGCTACTGTTAGCTACAAGAAAACCTGTTAAGAAAATAACTCAACGCAATTAATATACATGGACGAACAAAGTTGTATAACTCAATTTGAATTTTTCGCAGCCTCTAGAAAATCAACTTAGCAACTTCAACAATAAACAAGCGTTCTGATTTTTATTGACTTCCTTTTAGCGTCGAGAGAAAACAACTTTTTCGAAAGTATCAGAAGGCAAATGCCCCGTCTTTAAATTTTTGATTAGTAAATTAAAATGTTTCTTTTTTTTGCAAAATAAAGAAAGAAATTGAACTTATGAAAGTTTCTTGGGTCTGTTTTACGTATGCGATCAAAAACCTTTTGAAAAGTTTGTCGGTATGTTGAATATAATAACGTTTGAGTTATGCAGATATCAAAAATGCAAAAAAGAATACTCGAAACGTTTCTTTCAAAAATTCTGTTTTCTCAACTGCTAACCTATGGTAATACCATTTTTCAGAAGCAATCAGTTGAAAAATCCCGACTTGATTTTTTTTCAAAAAAATTAGATTTAAAAAAATTGACTGCCAGTGAATTCAAGCAAGCGCAAAAAAGTTGTCGTAAAACTATACAATTTTTTAATTTTCAATTTATGGCGTTCAAAATAATCTATTTTTTCAACTGCACTTGAAATTGTACCTACCAGATTTTTCTCATGGCATAACTAAGAAAGCATCCTGAAAGCATAAGGTAAAAATAACAAATTAGAAGCATTTGAACAGCCAAAGACAACCCCCATTGCCAGCATAATAAGCTAGCTCTATGAAATCTGGTATTTGGTTTATTCTGGGGCTGAAACCAGCATCATTTCTTGATGTTTTTCTCTCCTTTTTCTGAACTTTTCTTGCTTTGTTGTTAGTTTATTCATAGTTTTTCGCATTGTTTCTCAACATTACGAAAGCAGCCACTCATTTTAGCCACTATTTTAGCCTCGCTAAGAAGGATTTAAGAAAAAGCAATTCTAGTTCTCTCGACTATAATATTTTCGCTTGCGTCGAAATTGCAAGAAATTTTGTTTGCGATGGTTTCAGCTTTTGCAAAAAAGACTTTTTTTTATTTTTCACCGGAAAAAAATCGACTGTTAACTGGCTATTCTGATGAAGATTGTTTTTGCAATTGGAAAGTTATCCGCTCAAAAACAGGTTATGAAGTTGTCAAATTTGCCCATTCGGCCAATTTGAGAAAATCAAAGCGTGCGATATTGTTTTTTTTTGGAATTAGTGCCTGGAAATTTGTTTAAAATAGATAAAAAAACTTCTAAAATTTTTGATTCTAGTATGATTTTCGCAGACGCAAATCATATCAATTTTAATTACAAATCCGGGGCCTAAAAAGTTTAAATTGAAAACGAAATTGAAAATTTAGGTTTTCAAAACATTCTTTGTGGACATTCGAAACATACGTTGTGCACAGACAAAACAGGCAAGTCAAAGTTGATGCAGTTTATAACATGAAAAGTCATTTAAAAAGATTCATATGTTGAATTTCAGAAAAAACCAAACGGGGGAACTGGAAAAGAGCCGGTTTCTTTAATTTTACTTAATTCGTCTGAAAAGTTCAGCCAAATGCTGAAGATTTACTTAACAACAGTTATAATAAAGGTCAACTTAAATCTATGGGAAATGCACATAATAATTGCCGATTAATAGATACAACTTGAATAAAGATCCCTGTCATCATTTCCTTGAGGAATTTGTTTCTCAATTCGCAAACTGATATTTGAAATGGGTTTTCATAATAGAATTTAACAAATTCGAAGGTCATATTTGAAGCTTCATTCAAATTTCTTTTATAAAACATGAAGTTTCAGCGGATTTGAAAATTGTATTTTCAATCGAAAACATTACATTTGAACATTGTTCAAAAATTCAATGAGTTTTTTTTAGCTCACGTGAACTATAGTGCTCGTTCACGTGGCTAAAAACCTTCAACGTGTATGTGAAATAAATCACGTTCTTGATGGAACAATTTTAGTATGATTACGTGTGATTAAAAGACACGTGAGTTTTTATCAATAAAACAGACTTTTTCGGCTGCTTAAGTTTCAGCCGTACCAATATTCATAAAAATTGCTTTCTGAATGTAAGAAAACAATCAGCGCAGAGCCGCAGACGTAGTAAAATTCACCTGTTTTGCTGATTTATTCGTGCACATTGAAAGTAAATTTTTTAGAGTCGTTAATGTTTTTTGTCTTGATTCTTTGAGATAACATTTTTGCACCAATACTGATGTAAGAAAAGCCGAATTGAAAAGAAATTAAATAAATGAATTCCACGCCAAAAGTGCAGTCATTAAAAACAAAAGAGTTAAGTTTTATCAAATTTAGACAAGACATTTTTTACCAGATATTAGAGAGATTTTTATTTTCTGATACTTAAGTCAGAGAGCTTGAACAATGGACGAAGAAGAAATTGAGGTTATCGTTTCGCGAAAAGTTCTGAAAAAAGATCCCAATAACCTAGCGAGAGATCCAAGTTTTCCTCGTATTTTGAATGTCGGACCATTGGAAGAACCCGAAGAACGCGGGGATACGACAGAAGGAACCGAATCAGAGGAAGTTAAGAGCCCGCCAGAACTCAGCGACATCCGAATTGAAAGTCGGATCCCATCGGGAAGTTCTCGCGACTCCGGATGCCTTTCGGATGAGCCGAGAAGCCAGACGACATCATTGTCGATGCCGGATCCGGACGATATAATCGTTCGGTACGAGAAGGGAGAGACAAACTCGGATGAGCAAGTTGTAAGTCGGATCAGTTTCATTCGGTACAGTTCGGGTTTCGTATGCGACGAAGCGGCAGGAGCGAGTCGCGGGGAGCACTCAATATCCGAAGCAGACGATAATGTTTTCCGAATGAGTTACGGATCGCCGGGCGAGTTCACCAAAACAAAAAGTAAGGATGACATAACGTTTTGTTCGCACATTTAATTACTTTTGAGGGAAACGTTTTTATAAAAATAAAACAGAATTAATACTAAAGGTTTAAAGTTAATGGACGACTTAGTAGAAAAATTGACATTCAGCTTCTGATAAAGAGTCATTGAGTTTCAGTGATACAGAAAATGGATGCATTTTTGCTGATAACTCTATATTTTTAAGGCATTCCAGTTACAATTCGTAACGCAAAAATTGTCGAAGAGAAACCTCTCCATGTCGACCCGTCGGAAGATGACGAATCAAAGTCAACTTCGAATGAACCACTCTCCCTAAAGAAACTATGTGCTGCGATTGGTCGCTTGCTCTGCAAGAAGTGGGTTTCATGGCTCGTGCTTGTATGGGTCGGAATCGTTCTGCCAGCAAAATTCGCGGGAACAATAGCATTGGTCGGGTTTCCGGAAGTCGACACAAAAGTGGATTCGTTCCGAATCAATGATCATCCTGCGGCTAAAAGTCGATGGCTGCTACAAGAGATATTCAGTTAGAGCTTTTTAATCTGAAAATTTTGCATAATAAACGCCCCCTATACAATACAGAAAAGTAATCAATTTATGTTTTGGTAATTAACGATTCCTTTAACAACAAAACATTCATGTTTTCATTAAGAGTTCGTTTTAAGAACGCAAAAGGTGGTCGCATTGGTCGAAGCACCGTTCCAGGCGTAAGTATGCTGGCTTTCACTAAGCTGCATCTTTTCCTGCTCTATTGACTATGTTTTCCTTGTTTATTAGCATTACAAGCAGGGGCGGATTTAGGGGGAGGGGGCGGGAGCGGATGCTCCCCGTCAGGGATTCGTCCCTCTGCCGACCCAAAGGGTCCCCCTTTATATTATTTTCCAATATGCATTTTTGGTAATGGACCTCAAAAACTTTCTAAAGGCGCCTTCGGCGCCAAAATATACTAATTTTGAGTGGGGAGCGCACGCCAAAAAAAACGCGATTTTTTGGTCAAAATTTTCCAAAAAAAGCCTAAAAACGCTGTTGGGCTTTTTTGGGCTGTTTTTTTTTCAAAGTTTTGCCTGCGGCGCAGAAATTTTGGCCAAAATGCTTTGGGAAAACTCGCAAAACCAATTTGTTCGACCTGAAAAAAAAGGTCGACAAAAATTTCGAAAAATATTTGAAAATCCGCACCACCCCCCAGCCCCCCCCCCACCCCCACCCCCCCCCCCACCCCACCCCACCCCGCCCTCGAGAAAACCTAGATCCGCCCCTGATTACAAGTGTAAGCTTTCCATTACACAAAGCTTAGCACATAAAAATCTAAAAAATACTATATTTGACTAGGGCGCTTGAAAAAATTCTTACGCTTTTTATCAAGTCAAAGGGTTCTAAGATGTCCCCAAAAACGGCGAATTCGAATGTTAAATTTTTTTAAAAAGTTATAGTCTCCTTGAGTTCGTTGTAACTTTTCCAATCGTTTGTTGGCTATGTTCTTCAGAAAGAAGACAAATGAAAAGTGAGCAAGACTTTATTTTATCAGCGCAAAGACCCAAATTTTCTTTCATGGGCCTACAGTAGTTGTTGGTTCCAAACAAATTGAATTTTTCGAATTTTTCGGTGCTTCAATAATTTTCGAAAAAAATGACGGAGTAAATGTTCTCAGGGGGGGGGGTGTTTCTCCAGACAAATTTGGACTTTTTAACTATCATTTGTTGACCTGATACTAGCAGTTTTGTTAAGTTTCTGACACACTATTTGGACAGTTGGGTTTGCTAAATTCAATTTGGAATTATTTCAGAGCAAGATTAGAGCACCAATAGAAAACCCGATTAATTGATATTTGAAAACCCGAAATATCATCATTAAAACGACAATCAGACTGTATTAGACTTCTCCGTGCTTGACATTCGAACTAAAAAATACTTTCGAATTAAACACCAGCAATGTTTTAGATAGCATCAAGAGTGGTTAATTGTTTGCGCAAACTTAAAACATATGGAAAATTAAGCTGTCATAAACATTTTAAAAGTTGATGAAATTACTGAGTACTTTTAGATAGGTCGTGATGATTTTTTTGTTGTTTTTTTCGACCATTTGAAAAGAATTATAAATTCGGGTGTATTTTTTTTCTTTTGTTTTTGAGCGCGCTCAATCTCCGTAGTATGATTTAAAAACGAAATATCAAAAACAAATTCGTATTCTCGGCAATACAAAGTTAATCGGTCTTGCTAGCTAAATTTCATCCAAATTTTGCAGTTAAACAAGTTTATAACTTCACCAATACAGCTTCAAAAACAAATTGGCGCAAGCTAGCCACAAGAACCGGTCGGTAATGTCCTTGAGACAAATTGCTCTTTTTTTAGCGGTCAGCCTTAATCAAGGCTGAGCCGAATTAGTATAAAAAACAGTTAAAATAGGATATAACCCCCTTTTTTAGTATATTAATACATGGGCAGGTGGGGGACTCGAACCTACGTCAACTGTTATGTTACGTTACTTTGTCTTAGTCCGCTTGGCCAACTGTGCTTATGGTTGTTACATTTTGGTTCAATTTTATGCATTTATACTCTTGCACATTTACATTTGCGCTGCAACATCCTCCACCCCTAAACAAGGAAGAACGGGAGCGAAATTTACGGTCGGGCGGGTCAGTTCGCTCGTAACGGTATTTATGTCGGCGGATCTCGCGCATCCGTCCTTGCCATAGTGCAGTCTTAGAATACGTGCGAGTGGATAATGTCCACGTGGAGTGTCAGGCTCTATGACCCAAACCAAGTCACCGGCTTTCAAATTAACGTCTGACTGGTTGTGCCACTTTGCCCTCCTATTGAGGGAAGGAACGTATTCCCGCATCCACCGTGTCCATATTGCGTTAGCGTATGATTGCGCTCTGGCGAACCGCTTCTTATGGTCGAAGTTTTCTTCGAAACTTAGCGACGGAAAACTCGCTGCCTGTTGACCAAGGATAAAATGATTCGGGGTCAACGCCTCTAGTTCTAGCGGATTGGAACTAACGGCTGTTATCGGTCTAGCGTTAAGTGATTGCTCAACAAGGCACAGCGTGGTTCTTAGAATCTCTTCAGTTACTCTTCGGTTGCCTAGGATGTCATACAAAACACGCTTGACACTCCGAACTAATCGCTCCCAGGAGCCACCATAGTGCGGTGCGCTGGGTGAATTGAATTTCCACTTGATCCCTTTCTGAACAAAAACAGCGGGTGCGAGCATGTTCCAACTCTCAACGCAAGCTAAGAGCTCTTTCTGAGCACCAACAAAGTTCGTGCCGTTGTCGGACATGATGGTAGTCGGAGTACCGCGATGTGCAATAAACCTCTCTACGCCCATCACACAAGAGCTTGTGTCGAGTGAGGGGACCACTTCAATATGCACCGCTCTAGTGGTGAGACAGGGTGAACAAAAAACCCCACCTCTTTCCGTACTTCTCCGGATTGGAACTAGGAACGGCCCAAAGTAGTCAACACCTGTGTTAGAGAAAATAGGTTGCTTGTAACCCAGCCTTTCAATGGGCAGATCAGCCATAATATGAGTTACGGTTTGCGCTTTGCGTTTTCGGCACACAACGCAAGTATTCTCAATGTTTCGCAGCAACCATCGCAAATTTAACACAACGTACTTCAAATTAACCACCGCACGCATGTAATCCAAGCCTTGATGGAAATTCCTAACGTGCAAGTGCTGAACCAATAACCGAACAACCGCGTGACGTGCATCAAGTATAATCGGATGCTTGCTATCGAAATCGGAATTAACCAAGCGGCTGATGCGCCCAGTCGAGCGAAGGATGCCAGCTGGTCTAATGAACGGCAAATACTTGGCGATCCGACTATTCCTCTAGATAACTTTACCAGATCTTAGTAGTTTTAGCTCACTAGGGAATGTCTCACACTGGGACAGTTAAATGAGCTTCTGTTCAGCAATATCCATTTCATACGGGTCTGTAATTTCTATTATACTCGACCGGAAATGTTTATGGGATGGCAGCCATCTTAACAAACATGCTACTAAGCGTTTGTATTTTATAATTGAATTGGATATCTCCCATTTTCCGAAGGGAAGATTTTTTTCTGTCAAAACATCGACGACGAAAATTGATGAATTTTCCAGACAAATGTCGATATCACATGATGTTCCTTCTAGTCTTATTTTATCAATAACCCTTGTATCGGGCTTGAACGGCCAATCGGTTGTTCTCAGTATACTAGGGCCATTAACCCAGCTGCTTTCCTTGAGGGCTTTCGAAGAAACCCCTCGTGTACCGGTATCAGCTGGGTTAGAACCGCTAAGTATGTGATGCCACTGATCAGTGGTGGTAGACTCCAGAATCTCACCAGTGCAATTACCAACAATAACGGGTAGTTTTACTACAAGAGTGAAGCCACTGAAGAACAGTGGTACTATCTGTCCACATGAAAATATCCGTAACTTTGAAAGTAAGACCTTTCAAAATTTCTTCTTTTAAGCGGGTTGCAAGAAGAGCCGCTTGAAGCTCTAATTTTGGAATAGAAAGCGCTTTCATAGGCGCGACGCGGGTTTTGCCAAACACAAAGGCTAATTCGGTCTGATGGGAGCTAGAAAGTCCCGCACGAAGGAAAGCGACGGCACAGAAAACATCCTGCGAACTATCACCGAACATGTGAAGTTCTATTCGGTCGAAAGGCTCAGTGAAATAGCTGCGAGGTATTGTCAGAGAACCTAACAAATGAAGACCTGAGTGTCACTCAAGGAATTGCTTTTTGATTTCCTCTGGCAGAATATCGTCCCATTTTTGACCGCTGATTTGCCAGATATCTTTTAATAGAAAGCGAGCCTTCACGGTGTATGGAACCACTAACCCAATTGGACCAAAAACTGAGGAAACAAAACTCAACACGGTACGCTGAGTGATTGCTTTGTCTAGTGGACGATCAACCCCTCTACTAACGACTAAGGTATCTTTTACGTGATCCCACTTAAGACCGAGAACATGCGACGACTGGTCTGGACTCGCACAAATATCTTTAACAGAAGAATTTGACTCACGGTTGTCCGGATCAAGAGCGGTTGTTACGTCGGGCACGTTGCTGACAAATTTTGTCAGACGAAACCCACCTAGTTTAAGCAACGAGATTAAATCCCTACCTAGTTTCAAGGCGTCATCCCTGTTTTGAAAAGAATCCAGGTGATCATCCATATAAAACTTCTGGACAACAGCCGAAGCAGCTTCGGGGTACTCAGCTTGGTTATCCGATGCAGTCTTCTGCAAAGCAAAATTCGCACAAGTCGGCGAGTCACGAGCATCAAAAATGTGACGCGTATATTGGTGAACTACCACACTTGATGTGGGGTCCTCCCGCCACAAAAAACGAAGAGAAGGTTGATCTTCTTCACGGACTCCAACCTGTAATAACATCCCTTCAATGTCAGCTGAAACGAAATATTTATGCTGACGGAATCTTAACAGTACAAAAATGAGGTTTTGAAGGAGATCCGGGCCAAACAACAGAGATTTGTTCAAGGAAGCGCCATGACACTTCGATGCCC